TAAAACACATTTGGCTTCCGGGCAATTTAGATTTCTCAAAGGTCCTCGGGCAGTTGATGATAAATAATGTGTCGCGGCTCTTAGTAGATTTTCCACTTCTTCCATGTTCTACTCTTGTAAGTTTTTCCTCTATTCAACCAATTTGCAGTGTATAGTCAGTGTTCTAAAAGGCTCAAGAAGGCGTCGCCAAGGCGGGAATAGTCGTGAAGCGCAACCCAAACGCCTCGCCCAGCCACTATGCGTGGCAAAAGGCGTCTTAACCTTCCGACCCTTAAAATTTTAGCTCGCCTACGGCTCAATAAATCTAACAAGACCAAAGAAGCTTAAGTCCAGTGAAAGGTACTGATAGCTAGACTAATTTATAAGGGAACGGTAAAGAGGAGTTACCTCTTCTACCGGTGTGGGACAAGTTAATGGCAAATAACAGATACAAAACTTTAACACGCAGCATGAGAAAATAGCCATTTCGCCTCTTCCTACGGTGTGGGACTAATTGACTTTGCATATACGAGTACTAATTATAACTATGGCTCCATCTTGCCTACACATTCATTTGTTAAATTTTTCAACTCTTTTTTATTTTATAAAATTATTATTATAAATAAATGCTAAAAAATTGAACAACCATTAATATTATTCTAATATTATCATCATAATCATTTTTGTAATCATCATGATTATTACTTTATCATACAACTATTTGATCCAATTCTAATTTTTTGTAATAACAAAATCTATATTTTGTGAGATTTACAACTTATGTAATTTGTAATTTGTTAGAAATGAGAAAAGTAATATGTACTTGTATGATACTACGTTATACCTTTGCCAAAATAGAGCGTTGTGATCATTAAGAAAAGTAAAGTTATGTAATTAGTATCAAATTATTAAAATCTTTTATTATACAAAGCCAAGATGAAATCTGTACAGTGTTCCCGCCCAAACACTGTACAGTGACGGGCCAGGTTGATTTTCCTTGGGTTTAGAAATGGGTCTGAAGGAAGGCCGAATGTTGTGCTTTAATTCCGGCCCATTATTCCAATGCTGCTGATCTGTCTTATTTGGTCAATTATTGTTGGCTGATATGACCTTTTTTTGTGGCTCAATAAAGACCCGTCAGTGTTTAAGCTCATGGCTCCATAAAAACAATAAATGCTATGTAATTCAAAGTGGTAAAACCGGGATGTGGCCCCGTATGTTTAAGCAAGCATAGGGCTCCATACAAAGCATTAAAAGGAGCACACACAGCATTAAATGGAGTGTACTTTCATATCTTAAAAATTCCTTTAATATACAAAAAAATTGTGAGGCTGAAAAGAACAATTAATGCGTACAACAAAATCCAAATTTCCATTGGTTAATACATAATGGTTACTAGATCTTCAGGAGCTATAAATTTGACGTGCACTTTGTCGTGAGTGCACTCAAAATAAATCGATACTAACACTTATACGTAGTATAGGTGAAGTAGAGTTCGTATCCACAGGGAAAGAAATAACTTTCTTTTTATATAAATAGTAAAGAAAGGGGGGTTTTGATTGTTGAGTGATTTAATTAAATTAAACACGAAGATGAACGATTTATATGGAATTAAATTCAAGAATAAAAGGGACTTGGTCTTGCTACTTTCCACTTGTTGATATATTTTAGTCGATCATTGTTATATCTATAACTTATCCCCTCTCGAATACTCAATCGAGGAGTATATCCAATTCATCGAGGGTAGTTATTAACAACGACCGTTTATTAATAACCCTTACTATTAACCAAATATAGAACAACGCCGTATACCGATTTAATAGTAGCATTTAACCTCTTTAACTCCTTGACGAAATCAATTGAGATTGATAACCTCAACACAACGGTTTCGGTTTAACCAACAAAATTAATCCCTCTTAAGTTTATTAACCACGACCGTGCATTAATAAACCGAAGTTACTTACTTATGAAACCTACAACGTTTAACCATCGGTTCGTTGAACGTTTCTAGTAATAATCAATGTCGGAACGTTAACTAATCGTCACTTAGTCACCCTCCAACAATGATATAGAATGAGATTAAGGGAAGAATTAATAATCAAGAGGAGAAAGTAAGAAAATAACTCACAACTTTAATAATCAATCAAGCTTCAAGAGCAAAACCAAGAAATGGGAGTTTAGCTCCTCATTTGGAGACTAAACATGCTAAAAGAAATATAGAGAAATTCTATTCTAAACTGAGCTTAAGAGTATAAAGGAATTGATGTCCCTCTTGTGGAGGAAATGGGGTGTATTTATAGGCTTTTTAGGCCTGCAGGGTCGTGTACCCGATCGGGTTTTCAGCTCAACCGATCGGGTAAGGGTTAGTTTCCTCGAAACTGAAAATCTGGGGTCATACCCGATCGGGTATGTCGGCTACCCGATCGGGTATGGATACGCGATCGAGTTAAAAATCTTCCTGCATGTTGCCTTGTTCCCGGGTTGATTCGATTTGACTTTTCAGCCACTTACCCGATCGGGTATAGAGCATACTCGACCGGTTACACTACCAAAAATCAGAATCTTCATCTTTTCTTGAAATCTTTGCACCTTCCTTCCATTTGTGATGTTTACCAATGGTCCCTAGAGTGGTCTTGGACCTGTTTGAGCTCAGAACCAACCTAATCTAAATAATTTACAAACATTTTACAAACTAAACAATTACACCAAAAGTGTGTAATTTCTAGAGTAACAATCACTCAAAACTAATCAAAAACACAAATATAAACATGGAAATAACATTAATGTCAAAATACCACTTGATTTGGGAGTTTCACACCACAGCCCCATCCAAACTACTTGGCAAATTAGCAATTCCGATCAGGAATCACCTTCAAACTTCTTTAAGGAAATATACAACTGCAGTTCATTGCTGGTAGTGTTTATCTAAGGTTAATATTTATATTTATATTTAAGTATATTTACAGGTAGGGCCGATTTATACCTCAGTGAAAAGGCCACAATCAAGTTGGTAAGTAAAGGCCCAAAAAAAAACAAGAAAGGTTAAATACGAAGTGTATATTTTGTGTAAAAAGTTATGCATTTTTGCAGTTTTTAGGCTTTTAAGTATAAAAAATATACAAGCTTTTTTTAATCATAAACAAGAGGTTTTATAAGTTTTAAACAACACTCCAATACAGAAAGGGGTTCTTAGCCATGCATGCTCAATGCTCTTTGAGGGGATTATATTTCCAATACGAAAAGGTAACAAATAGCAACAATCATTATGCATTTTAAAAAGCCTAACAAAAATGGATTTCACAGAACATCATATGAAGAAATTAATATGATCATGAACTTGAAATGCAGAACCAAAAATGGTAAATGTCTTGAGCTACAAAAACGGAATGAGCACTATTTGAGTGCTTTCTTATACTTAAAAGAACTTATTACAGGATTTAACAATGACTATATTTGTGCCAGGGAAATGATCTTCTACTTTTAATGCAACAACCAAAGGGCCACAACAAGGATTATACCAGACAATGGAAAATGATCTTCTACTTTTAATCACCAATCTATAAAATAATGCACTCACAGTTTTAGAGGTTAAATATTAAGCTATGTATAGATCAAAATCGTAGGTAAAAAAGTATAAATATTAGGGTGTGTATAGTTAAAAATGTAGGAGAGTTAAAATGGATTAAAAGCATTCTTTTAACTGTTTAAATTACACATGCGTAAAAATATAGCCACAACGCTTTTTTAGTTCAGAACATATAGTAGATAAATAATTAGTTCAAAAAACTTGAATGTATTTATGTAACATACACTTTAATGTCTCAACGTTCATATCCAGAAATCTGTATATCTCCATATACACTATTACATTTATTCTTCAACAATCATCATATATGAACAACAAAATCTGTTTTGGACATTCAATGCTTTATCACGACAATATTATTCTAAATTCACTTATGTATGACATGTATCTATTGGAGATCTCATTGATTTGAGATATCACTAAAGTAATGTCATATAAGTGTGGAATAATTTATTTACCGACCAGAAAGACCTGGGTGTAATTTATCTCGGTGTAAAAAAATAGATCTCGGCAAATCTATATACTCACTCCAAAAAAATTAGAGATTAAGTGAACTTAATAAATCTGCTCAACATCATTTTTTCTAAAAATAATTACACATTTAGTGAACAATATAAATCGGTTAAAGATACTTTGTATTGAAAAAAAATACGTTTAACGCTATTTGTACCCGGTCCGATTCAGAACAACATGCACAGAAAAATACATACAAGGATAAAATTTCAAGAACAGAGACGAAAGGGATATACCAAGATCTCGAAGATAGTAGACATGGACTGAGATCATTTGATTATCCTTCAGCCATTGCAACTATTTCGGTTGTCGGGTAAGGTAAACATGAAACAAAAAAAATGAATCGACAAAATGAACATCGATACCGTCATATTAGCGGCGAATAATTGACTTCAACCATCTCTTGAAGAAGGCTTGAAGGACCAATTTCGGAAGATATGGCCGAAAATCTAGAGTGACAACGAAAATAAAATCCATCCGAAAAATGAAGGATTGTCTAGAGTACGTGTACGGACAAATGTGGAGGCTGGGGGAGATAAATAGATTATATAGAGCTATGTTAGGTTTGGGTAGTTGGGTAGGATGTAAATATCATATTGGGTTGGGTTAAATGGGCTGGCTGGGATGGGTGATAAACTTATATGGGCTGGCTACGGGAGGTTTTTTTATCGAAGCTGCGGGAGGATTATTATGTATTGGCTAGGATATTATTTGATATTTAATTATTTATTTATGAAGTTAGTAATTATTAAATAAGTTGTATCATAACAGTAAAAAAAGTTAGTTGTATCATATACAAAGTATTATTTCCAGAGTTATTATTATTTTTATTCAAGTTCATTATTGATAAATCATGCTTTCAAAAATAAGTATTCATTGATTCTAATAATTTGTCATTTATTTTAAATAATCTTATGGGATATAATTTAGTAGGGGCGGGCAAGAATCCCGGTCCCGTTGTCCCATTCCGGTATATCCCGTTGTACCGGTGAGGAAGTTGAGAGCTGTTCTCTCCCTCGTCTGAGGTTCTTCTTCGATTTTAGCCATAAATCCACTCGGATTTTCCATTAATTTCGTGTTTTTGAGCTGGATATTGGATGCTTTACTTCCTGAATCTCCTTAGGTTGTAAATCCTCCAATTTTGGAGCCCAGGACTCGGATTCTTGGACTGGTTTCACGTAATAGATAGCTCGGAATTACTGTTCACAGAAATGGGTCAACGCATATTTCTCTTGATTTCCTTGCTCAATCTTTGATTGGTAGGTGTTTTTAGATTCTCCTGGAAGTGAGGCTCAAGCATTTCAGAAGTTTTTGAGTTCTTGAATCTGCTGGGATTCGTTACCTTGTTACTGCTCTACCAGAGGTGTGAAATTTCGAAGCTTCTGTTTCAGCACCTGCGAAATCACTGTTCACGCGAGAAGCAAAATCGCGACAATTTAGCATCGTTCTTCATCTGGCTGGGCGAGCTTAGGTTGCTTGGAATCTGATGGCTGAACTCTGAAGGCACCTGCACGAACGATATGGCAAGGAAGAAGCTGACAAACGCTGAAAGTTCTCTGGGACGGGTTACCAGGTCCACTGCTTCCTTTAACTTGCTGGATGGACTGGATGAAGAACTCCATACTCTGGGGAATGCTACGCCAGCAACTCTTGATGTTGGTGTCTCTACGCTAGCAGGACTTACTGCCAAAGCAGAGAATGTTTCTAAACCTGGGCAGATTGTTGCTAAGATACCTGGACAGTCAGTCCCTAAGTTGGTAGCAAATAAGGAAAAGAGGAAGGAAACTGAACTCCGGGCGGATGCTACTCATGCAGGAGGTTCGTCTCCTTTGGTTCATGGGCAGACTACAGTCATTCCTACTAGCTCAGGGACTGCTAATCCTTGGTCCTCCCTTTTTAAGGACAATCGGGCACCCTCAAATGGCTTTAAATTGAGGTACATCCCGCCTAGTGGCACAACCATAGACTTTTCCGATAGAATTATGCCTAGTATGGTTGAAATGTGGGGTTTTTGTTTAGTCGGTTGCTTCACCGGAAAATTTCCCGGCCTAAAAGCGATTTATGATTTGAAGAACACATGGGGTGTTAAGTGCATTATTAAGCCCCATGATAAGGGTTGGGTTTTATTTAAATTCCAAAGTGAGGATGATAGGACAAAAGTGTTGAAAGAGGGACCTTACACCATTTTTGGGAAACTACTTATGTTAAAAGCACTATCGGATGATTTTTCCTTTGATGATGAAGAGTTTCTCAAAGTACCTATTTGGGTTAAATTCCCTAACTTACACTTGAAACTTTGGAATGAGGATGCTCTGAGTGAGATTGCATCCATGGTTGGTGTCCCATTGGCTACGGACAAAGTCACACATGATAGGTCTAATCACCACTTTGCTAGAGTGCTTATTGAAGTTGATATTTCGAAGCCACCGCCACTTTCATTTCCTATTCGACTACCATCCCGGAAGGTAGTTAAACAATTTGTGGTGTATGAAACATTCCCAAATTTTTGCTTCCATTGTAAGATATATGGGCATCACCCTTTTATTTGCAATAAGCTAGCACAAAGGAACGATGAGACGGTAAGTGAGAAAGTTGAAGATGAACAAATAAAAATTGGGGGAAAGGAAAACATACCTGCGGAAATTGTGGAAACTGTTGAACTCGCTGCCCAACGGGCAGAATCTGCCCAGGAGATCCACCCGACTGTCCAGGGGCACAACCCGGCCGGGACAGCCACAACCCCGATCGGGACAGCCACAAAGCCGACCGGGTTTAACCGGCAGACTGATTCCAAGGATGCCCAAAGGTGTCCAGAAGTTGTGACAAGCTCAAATGAACAATCCGTGGTTGCTTTGGAAGATATTGAGAGGGTAGTTACAGATGAGAATGATTTGCACCAACATGATGTCGTCACCAAATGTGAGATGGTTAACGGTAAGACACTCAAGTTGGTTGTCAAACCGTTTAGATTTGTGCGGGCTAGTGTGATTCGAGTGGATACTTCCCTTCGTCTCACGGACGATTTGGATAAAAAGGGCTTAACTTTCACCGCAAGATGTCTAGAGGGACTACCGGGAGTTACAAAGAAGAAAGGGGAGGTTTGTTTTGATGCTAAGTTCACTACTCCTTTCCGGGCATTCTTTGGATATTTAGATTAAGAACTTCTGTAACATTAATCTATGAGGTGGGGTCTGTCCCATTTTTTTTTGATGCATTATATCTAGGTTAGTTGATTCTAGCTTGGATAGTCTTGTTGATTTGGATTTGATGCATTGTAAAATGCTATTTTTCGATCTCTAATATACTTACATGTTATCGTCGAAACCGTACCGGTGTTATCCCGTTCCGTTTGGGTCTCATTGATTTTGTCCCGCACCGGTCCCGTACCGGTTTCAAATGGGACGGGACCGGGACATTGAAAGGTTATCCCGAACCGTCCCGTTGTCCCGTTTGTAATAACTATATAGATTTTGTAGCATGTGACTAGTTTGTAATGTCAACTCAAAAAATAAATGATAACATGTTTTTAGTTTTTAAGCCCAATTTTTGAATTAAAAATAATACCTAGAATAAATATTTACTAACATAGGTTTTTATCTCACTTTATATATCTACATATGAGTATCTCACAACTAGAACAAATGATTTTGAATAAAATAATTCATTTTTGCTTTGTTTTAAATTTAAATTTCAAAATTTGCTAAACCTAACTAAAATCTAATACGTAGTAGCTTTTAGCTTGTGATGAACATCAATTAACTTTTACAATGTTAATATTTTGGTGCATGATACTTTAGAAATGCTAATATATATTAATTACAAATGATTATTTTTTGTTAGTTTGGGACGTCTCGAATCGTCCCAAACCGTTCCGAATCATCCCGGTTCCGATTTAAATGGGACAAGACTGGGACAAAGGCTTATCCCGTACCGTCCCGTCCCGTTATTATTAATTGGGACGGGACCGGGATAACCCTAATCCCGAACCGTCCCGACCCATGCCCACCCCTATAATTTAGGGTCTGTTTGCAACAGCTTCCGCTTTTAAAAAAGTGTTTTTTTTAATGAAATGGGGAGAAGTGATTAAATAAAAGTTGATAGTGTTTGAGAAAAAAGTGATCTTGAAAAGTAAAAGTGAGTAGTGTTTGGTAAAATAAGTGCTTTTTGTGTAATAGAAAAAGTAAAAGCACTTTTGACGCGGAAGCCGAGAAAAATAAAAGTTGTAGTATTTGGGAAAATAAGTGCTTTTTAAAGCCAAAAGCTGAGAAGTGCTTTTTTAAAAGGAGTTGCAAACCAACCCTTATTCTAATATGTTATGATATTGAACAGAAAATTGTGATCCCGATAAAATTATCAAATTACTAATTAGTTTTATGTTGTTATTATTATTATTGTTATTACAACTAATATGTTAGTATTGTATTATTATCATAATATTGTTATTAGTATATTACTATGATATTGTTAAATACCACCACATAACATTTGCAAGCAAAATATTTATGAGCCGTGGGTATCTTTTTCTTAATTAAAATTCCTCCTTATTTGGACGAATCTTATCTAATATTCACTTATTTCTTTTTATTCAGTGGCAGAGCCAGGACACTGGGCCATATTGAGCTGATACAAATAATATTTTTGAAAAAAAATACACAGAATTTTTTCACTTAAAATTTAAACGTTTTTAAAATTTGGGATGGGCCGGGGTCAAGGTTGGTCCTCCCCTAGCTCCGCCCCTATAAGGAAGTTCATAAGGAAGTTTTTCACAATGTATAGATTGTGAAATCTTAGTTTAGATTACATTTCGTTATTTCTACTTATTCTAAACCATACTTACTACCTATCTTTGAGTTTTCACTATCCGTTCTTCAATTACTCCGTATAATTTATTATACATGTTACATTTATGACAATTTACATTTATTTCACACAACCACGTAATATTTACAAATAATATCATATCACATTATCGCAATTATTACATTTTAATATCTCGCGCATCGCGCGGGTGAGAATCTAGTGTGAACAAAATAACAATAAATTATATCTCATGAATATTATCAGATGTTCTATCATACTTAGTAGGGCAGATAACAAAAATGGAAGAAGTACTACGTATTATTTAGTATTGAATTTAAATATTTGAAAAATAACTGTAAAAAAGGTAAAATAATAGAAAAAAATTAAAAACGCCTTTTCACGCCTGGGCTTCGCTTAAACTCGCCTAGGCTTCAAAGGCTTAAGGCTTGAGCGTGCCGCCTCGACACGCCTTACGCCTTTTAGAACATTGTGTATAGTTACTTTATTGTTACTTTAGAACAGGGAAGAAGCGGAAAAACTTATTTCTTTCTGAAAAACTTATTTATAGTTACAAGAGTAGAATGGGGGTGTAGTTACTTTATAGTTTACTTGAACTGAAATTTGTTGGTCTGATCTGGTCTGAACTGGTCTGGTAATGCCTGGTCTATGTGTATTTTTATAACTATCTAAGTCTGGTCTGAACTGGTCTGGGACTGAAAACAGTCCAAGTAGAAACATCTAAATATTATAAACATGAATAGAGGTAAGGATATTTTAGGTATACAAAATGTGTTGGTGTAACATGTAGCTTTAAGTTGTTGTACGCTATGCTTTAAATTTTTTGCACTTAAGTACTACCCTAATGTTTTCCGTCTAACTCCCGTTAATAAGTCTCCTGTCATCTCCCTTCATCTAATTCCCGTGGCCTTCAGTCTTCACCCCTGTAAGCTTCCCACGAACAAATAACCATTCCTCTTCCTAGCTTCCTCTCTCGGCGGTTCGTGAGCAGCGCACTGAAATGAAGGTCTTCGTCAACACCAGGAGCGGCAAAGAGCTCATCAAGGGCGGACTTGCCTCAGTGATTCGGCTATAGTTTCTGATCTGCAGGAGCAAATTCATAGACCGACCAAGAAATATATACTATCCACCCAGACAAAAGGAAAACGTGTTATTCAACCCCCTCTTTTATTACTTCCCAATCTTCAAAACACTTAGGCTATGAAGGAAAACGTGTTATTCAACCAGTCCAGACATATGACATGTATTACTTCTGTTTCCATTATGCCAAACGGATCCTAGAGACGTTTTTTTGCACCGGTTCAGCCACACCACTTCTCCAATTTCAAATGTCTTCAGGAACTGGGCATATTATTGGTCGTTTTCCTCTGTCATGGCTTGCTATGTGAATCACCCATTTTATTTACACCTTGGTGGGTGATGCCCAGATGATGATTGGGTTTGCATTTGGGCTGATTTGTCAAGTTTGTGACTTGTCTGACTTCTATTGTCATATATTGTTGAGAAATCTCCGAGGTGGTGGAGCCGTGGGTGATTTCCCAAAATACGGGAAATGTTGACATGGGCTGCCAATTTACGGGGATAAAACTAGGTTTTCCCAAAATACGGGTGTCGGATTTCCCTCTTCCGACTAGGGAAAGGGGTTGTATCGCCACTCCTGTCCGATTTCCCTAATCCGACTAGATGCATGCTTTTGTTTTTTAAATTCCATGTCGGAATACTAGAATCCGACTACATATGCTTGTTTAAGTGAAAACCATTAGTAGGCACTCGGTAGGTTGGGTGAAAACCATATGCTTTTTTAATTTTTTTAGAATTTAAGTTTATTATTTATTTGTATTTCTGAATTTTAAAAGTAATATTGTTACTTTATTTTATTTTTTAATCCATGAGTATTATGAATTAAATCCATAAAATGAAATACAAATTTGATTTTGTTTAAAATGCAATTTTTGTAATTGCATTTAAAGGTTCTCGACTTCTCGTCCCATTTTAATCCATGAGTATTATAAATTAAATCCATTTTAATTGCATTGTTTAAAATAACAATGTAATTTATTACTCCCTCCGTCCCATTTAAAGGTTCTCGACTTCTCGTCCACTATTTTCCGGTCAACGTGCATTGTTCTTAATCTGTTACTTTATATATCCAACTTTTATCAAATTTAAATTTTCTTGATTAGGCTTTGTAGGGGTTTTAATGTAGTTTCTGAATATGTAAATTTTATTTACTAAAAATAATTCTACTAATGACAGGGATCAGTTAATTTTATGGTCAGTCAAACGTCGTGAACCGTGTGGGAACGTTTAAATGGGACGGAGGGAGTAATAAATATATGCATACAATAATAACTTTAATACTACATATAATGATAAATAATGTCACGGTTTGCGTCTTCGTCTTTGTTCAACGATAGGTTGGGTGCTCGGACCGGACCCCCGCGGTCATGATTTTACCGTCCAAGGGTTCTCAACCCCAGCCTAGAGTATTCTGGATCATTTACCGTCCAAGGGTACTCAACCCCAACCGGGAGTATACTGGATCATTTACCGTCCAAGGGTACTCAACCCCAACGTGGAGTATTTAGGATCACTTACCGTCCAAGGTTTGTGTACATCCCTTGGGGGTAAAAACTACCCATTTCAGAGGTCATCCCAATATGTCCCAAAGTATACATTTGACCTCGAAAGCTGTATTTCAATTCTCAGACTGTTTTTATTATACTTCGTATTTTATTTTATTATTCTCAGAAAAGTTACCAGCAGCGTAAAAAAAACTAATTTTAAAGCATGTTTATTTAAAGCATTAGATTTTTTGAAAAAAATATGCTTAAAATTTTTGATATGCTCGGTTATTGTCGGTTTGCCATTCAGACGAAGCGGGGACGCTTGCCCCTCATGTCACTCCCTAGCTCCTCACTGATAACAATAGTATTACGCTCACTAGACATTTCTATATAGTATATACTACTTTCATTTTAAATAAATGCAACATGTTGAATTTTAGACTATTCGCATGTTATGCTTTGACTACGTTTTATTTATTAATGTATTAATATTTTTTATGAAAATAATATTTTTAAATTTGTCTCATTGTAAATTTTCAAAATCTAATTTTTAAAATCTTTTTACTAATACAAAATTATATATATTAATGGTCAAAGTTGTGTCTCGACAAGTATCAAACATTGACGGTTGCATTTATTTAAGAAAGGAAGAAGTATTAAATATATTAAGAGAGGAAGATTTTTTTTGTATTAAAAAATTGGCAATGGGAATGAGTTTTATAGGATATATTAATTGTTTTTGGCTTTTTTAATCTAGTTGGAAGTGCCAATTCCAACTACACGTATTCACCCAAAATGGAATCCGTTTTTGTTTTGGAATTTACTCGGCATCAATAGCTCAACCTTGTCGGAATTGCCAAATCCGACAGGAGGATCCCAAAATTTAAGCCAAACCCCTGGTCGGAATTGGGAGTTCCGACTCCCGTATATTCGTACCCTAATTCTCATTCCCGTATTTTAGCTTCTCAAACAAAAAAATCCCGTCTTTTGGTAATTTCCTCGTAGCCG